CCAAAATGGTTCTAAGTGACCGTTTTGGCATTTTCGACGTAGACACTATGGATCCATCAAGACCAGACGTGCCTCCCAAGCCTTTAAGCAAATGTCCATCAAGGGAAACAATAAGAAGCCAACCCCAAGCTCTGTTTCTCTTGTCAATGAAGCCAAGTCAAAGCCAAGCTTGTGTGTCCCTCACCAGAACTGGTAGAAAGGATCTATGTTTTAGTCTCTCGTGTTCTTTCACATGGGTTTGTAACAACTTAACCATGCCGAAGTCTTACCTAACACCTCTGCCCACTAGCCAAAATGCATTTTGAGGTCTAAGGAGGTCAGAAAGTGTGTCTGCATGGCATGGGCATGAGCCCATGAACTTTTATAAAGAAGGCAGGATTTGCTGTTTTGGGAAGAGGATGTTCTTTTAGGCCAACCCTATTAGCAGGCCAATAGGTCCAACCTTTTAATTTCAAGAAAGTTGCCACACAATCCAGATTGCTAAAGAGGGATGGACATAGTCTCTCCTTTTATTCATGCTAGTTACAAACCATTGTGTTTTCCAGGCAAACCAAAAGGCCATGGCATTCCTACAGGACATTATATATTCCTGTGGGTCTTTTGCAAACCCAGCACCTTGGTAATTAATTGCATTTCTCATTTCAAGACACCCTAGGGCCTGGTCTATACTGGAGTGGGAGGTCGACTTAAGATATGCAACTACAGCGACGTTCATTACGTAACTGGCGTCGATGTATCTTAAATCTCGTTTCTGTACCGGGCACATGCAACTACAGCGACGTTCATTACGTAGCTGGCGTCGATGTATCTTAAATCTTGTTTCTGTACCGGGCACACAACAGGAGGTCGATGGGAGCAAATGGTCCCATTGGCTTCCCTTACTCCTCATGAAGAACAGGAGAACTGGTGCCAATGTGGGCACCCTCTGAGTTAAATTTAGTGGGTCTTCACTAGACCCACTAAATCGAACTCTGGAAGATTGAGCGCGGCAGCGTCAATCTTCTGCGTAGTGCAGACATGGCCTACAGGAACAGGCTACAAACCCTCCTCTGTGTGCAGAGATGCATTAGAAGCTTTGCAAGTGTGGCATCAGGATGGGGATTTTGTGTGTGTCCTCGACTTACTCTGTACAACTTCAGAGCCCCTCACAATTACTGGCCAAATTAAAGTCAAATGGCAATCGCATTCCAGCAGAAGGCTCGTCTAGGAATGTCTAGAGTCCAAGACACGCCTTTGGACACAATACTGTCTCTCTTACCCAGCATGTGCAGTTTGCTGGCACGATGAAGATCTAAGACAACATCATACAAAATGTTTTACCCACCTGCTGGGCAATTACAGGTTGCAGATGGGAACATGGCACCTGCATTTACAGAGGACTTGAAGTTTAGGAGACAGATGGCGATGCCTTCTGGTGCCCTGGAAAGTATTTTGAGCTGGAAGAGACTGCTCTGATTTTCATTTGCTTCCATCAGAGCTCAAAAGCACAAGAGTCAGAACAGGAGATGGGGAAGAGAGGGTCATGCTTCTCTGTTTGCTTAGAGAATCGGCAGTTCAGGGAAAATAATCTTTAATAATGTTAATTTTGCTTAATCCTGCTTTATTCCCTCTCCTGAAGAGGATACCTCCCCCCAAACCTGTTATGTATTTCTGAGGTCATATTCTCATTTACACTAGCTGGGATCAGAGATGACACAACGTTCAGAATAATGGCTCCAAATAATCTATCTACTCTCCCTCCTAAGGGTTCCTGGTATCTAATTCCAGGGCACCATCATTCTTCCACTCTACTCTGTGCTGATTAGGCCTCAATTGGAGTATTGTGTCCAGTTCTGGGCACCACATTCCAAGAAAGATGTGGAGAAATTGGAGAAGGTCCAGAGAAGAGCAACAAAAATAAAGGTCTAGAAAATATGAGCTATGAGGGAAGACTGAAAGAATTGGGCTTGTTTAGTTTAGAAAAGTAGAGACTGAGGAGACATGACAGTGGTTTTCAAATATCTAAAAGGGTGTTACAAGGATGAGGAAGAAAAGTTGTTCTCCTTGGCCTCTGGACAAGAATCAATGGGCTTAAATTGCAGCAAGGGTGGTTTAGGTCGGATATTAGGAAAAACTTCCTGGCTGTAAGGGGCTATTTCTATACTACAGGGTTTTTCCAGGATACCGGAAGTATCCCAGAAAAACTCCACCATGTCCGCTTTTTTTTGTGGAAGAGCAGACATGCTCTTTCAGAAGCCCTGTCTTCCTCCTCCCATGAGGAAGAAGGGCTCTTCCAAAAGAGGAGGCTTTTCCAAAATTTGGCCCAGTGTAGATGGGCCAAATTTCGGAAAGCCTCTTCTGAAAAAACTATCGGAAAAAGGTACGCAAACTGTGGAGTGCAATTTGCGTACCTTTTTCCGATAGATCATTGTAGTGTAGACATAGCCAGGGTGGTTAAACACTGCGATAAATTGCCTAGGGAGGTTATAGAGTCTTCATCACTGGAGATAATTAAGAGCAGGTTGGATAGACACCTATCAGGGATGATCTAGATGGTGTTTGGTCCTGCCGGGAGGGCAGGGGACTGCACTCGATGACCTCTTGAGGTTCCTTCCAGTTCTAGGATTCTATGATCAGCCCACCCTGAAGTAGATGCCAAATGAATGAAAACATGATCTTCAAATAATGCACTAGAGCCAGCAACTTGATGGAGGGAACCTTGATTTAGCCCATGGACAAAAAGAGGTGGCACGGAACTAAGTTCTCTGAGCAGTGCCAGAACGTACAGACGTCACAACAGCAACCCACCTGAAATACCTAGGGCGTGAGCATTGGGAATATGCCTCACACCCTTTCCTTCCAGAGCAAAGGCTTCTGCTGAACACACGGCAGGCACAGGCAGATGTGCTGCTCCTGAAAACTCCCCCCACTAGAGGACAGAGTGGCCCACAGGGCAACTTCACATATTACTTCAACAGACTCTTTAAGGGCTGACTCATACAGTGCTGGTGTAACCCCATTCTCCTACTGGGTGTAGTTCACTGCCCCATGTAGCGGCACTGAGTCCACTTAAGGAAAGACTCGGGGAGCTCTACAGCCTTAGCGGAGCAGCAGTTGGCTTTTTTTAGTTCATGCACAAAGGTCCTAGGTTTGGTTCTGCCTGTCAGTGTTACACTTGCTCTGTTTTCACACACTGCTTTCTTAGGAGAAACTTCTGTTGTTCTGAATGCGAGTTTTAGCCAAGTAAGGGCCAGATGGATCCATTTACTCTCAGGCCTGGTCTGCATTAGACCAGGAAGGTCGGATTAAGGTACACAACGCTAGCTACACAAAATGCATAGCTGGAGTCGGCTTACTTTAAGCTGAGCCTTTGTGGTGTCCATACCACGGGAGGCTGACGGGTGCTCCCATGAGCTTCCCTTACACCGTGCAAAAGGAGGAGTACCGGACACTGATGGGAGCTGCCCTCAGCATTTGATTTAAGGGTCTATACTAGACCTGCTAAATCAAACGCCAGAAGATCAACCTCCAGAGTGCCTTCTGTTAGTATAGACATGCACTCCTTGAGTCGTACTGACAGAAGCTACTGATTGATTCATGGCATAAAGTGTTAATTAGTGAATGTGAGGAAAGCTCTCAAAAGTTACATCTGGTTAAAAGAACCCGTGAAAGCATTTTCCCCCTTCATTTTTGAAATATCGAAATTTCAAATGATTTCAGTCACATCGATAGCCAGTCAAAAACAAGAGACTATGGTTTTTTCTAAAATGTCATCACATTTTTCCCCATTTTTTTAAACTCTAAAATTGTTGCCAAGATTTCGAAAGTCTAATTTCCATCGACACTGTCAAAAATTGACCCAAATGATGGACTGTGGAAAGTTCACAAGAGTTGGCTCTGAAAAAAGTAAGAACTCCAGGAAGATGAGCAGAGATAAAATGGAGGAATTGTGGGGGGAAAAGACACTGTCTCTCAGGAACAAAGAGGAAACAAGTGTATGGTCTACAAACCCACACAGAGAGTAGGATGTTATAGGATTTCCCAGATAGAACTCAACTTCTGCCTCTCAAGAATCACACGAAGGAGATGAGCAACATCTCTGTTTTTCATTGAAGAGGTAGATTAAACCGGGGAGCATAGATTGCATGGCTTTTAATGTAATGGAAGAGAGAAGGAGGAAACAGAAGAGCAAAACCGGGACACAAGATTGATGAGAACCCTGAATGGGGCTCAAACTGGCCAACCATTTTTCAGCATGGCTAAGCTGACAAATAAGACATCACGGAACAAACATCGAGGAGGAGTGCAAGCTAGCTCCGATAAAAAGGAGGACAGTTGTCCCCACTTAGAACCTTCCGAGAATTGAAGCTTATTTTTCTTGCTGTGGTTCTGAAGCTATTAGGTATTCCCCCCCCAGCAGCCAGTATCTGACCTGAACTAGAAACAGTGACCCAACAAAGAAGAATGTTCTTCCAGTGTTAGTTGTGGCCACCAGAAGTGCCAGAGAATAACAAGCCTTTCCACCAGATTATCAACCCAGTTTGGATGGATTCACATTCACATCCTCATTGGAGTCATGCACCAAAGATGAATTTAGCCCATAGTCCAAATGTGATCTCTCCAAAGTGAATCACAACTTCCAATTTTTGGAGGCTTTGCAAGGTACTGTCGGCCTCCTCCAAAGCGTACCTTCCACTGATTTCATTCATCATTGTTTCAAGCCCTATATACCCTGCCATCAGTTCTCTGTAGCTCTTGCTTCGGCACAGGTAGGATTCGAATAGGATTCAATAACAGTATAGTAAGATTTGCCTTTAAACGAGACAAATTGCATTTTTATGTTCTTAACTCGTACATGCAATTCTTTTCATGCATATGAATACTCAAAGGAAAAACAAATTACTTATCAGTACATACAATTTGCATTGGAAATGATCAAGAATAAATTTCCCTCCCCATCTCCACTTTCCATGTAATTTTTGGCCATGTTTAGCAATTGACAGCAAGTTCTCGTCATTGAATCCAGTGACAAATTTACATTTATTTATTATACATGTCATCTTTACAAATAAATTAATTTCATGGCTCTTGATAATTCCTTGAACTTTACTAACTGATTTCCAAACACATTATGAATCTCAAGCTGTTTTCAGCCAACACGAGTGAATAACGAATCACCAGGCAGGAAGCGTTGCTAAGTAATTTCTTTCTTTGAGTGATTCAGTCACCAGTGGAGCACTTGGTAGGTTTTAAGCAAAACATGTGTCCCTTGGGAACTGACGGAAAGGGTCCATGCAAGGGCTGGAAAATCAGAGCCAGCACACTGAATGCATCCCTCTCTTGATTGGGGATCACACGTCGACAACTTGACTGAATGAGATGCTAAGTAACTCAAGTGTACACGTGCTGATGGGCGGACTGACAATAATTTCCGTTTCCTCCAATTCCCTCCAGAAACTATGCCAGCATCTATGTCGAAGATGCAAGCAGTAAGCACTTCACACTGATCCAGATTTCACTGGCTTGCTCTCAGTGCTAGACTTTCACTCAGTCCATTTTTCCTTGCGAGATTACTTAATTTCTGCATAGTATTATAAAAAAAAACCCAACCCCAAAACCAAACTGATTCACCCTTGGGAGACCTGATATTTCAATAGCTGCCTCTCGGTGGTAAATTGCTAAGAATACTTGGACTTCTTCTCACCACACAAAACAAAAAGAAACGTCAAAAATAAATATCGTCACCTTCCGAGATTTGCCTTATTTATACCTGAAATGGGGGGTGCGGTTCCTTCAGAGACACAGAGGGGGCACTTTCTGGGGCATCACATTCCCTATCCCAGGTTCTGATCTGAAGCCCATCTAAGTCAAGCATCTTTCCAAGGACTTGGTTGGGCTTTGGATCAGGCCTTAACCTGAGAGGTGGTTCAAAGGCAGGTACAGGACACTTAAGGGGGAGTCAAGCTACCCACGGTTCTTCCTAAAGTCCTATCCGATTCCATCAACACTGGAGCTTTGGGTATGAAAGGCCCGTATGGCCTGAGAAGAACAGTGGGTTCATTAGCACAGCTCTGGGGGCCCAGATCTATCTCTGAGTCACCAGCCAGCAAACTCCACTAGCGCCTCTGTGAAAGAGCGGAACAAAGAGTTGACTATCAGAGAGGCGAATTGGTGGGTCTCCACCAGGTCTTTGCGTTCTGCCATGACACCTTTTTCTGACTGTGTTTTGACTGTAGCCAGGCGATACCTATAGGGGCTCAAAATGATTCAACATACTGGAAGCACTTCCCAAATGTATTATTATGGGCAGGATGGAGGCTTTGAAATCATAGCTCGCCCAGGACCACTGGGAACCCAAGAAGGAATGGCATCTGTCTCAGCCAGATTTCCCCCAGGGAGGCCGTGAGGATACACACATTGGAATGGCAGCTTTCATTGTCCTCTCGTGGCTCTAAATCATGCAAAGTCATCAACAAAGCTATAAGGTGATTCACTCAGCTGGTGTGAAATGGCTTGAGTGAGGCAAGGCCAATTTTCAGCAGCCGAAGATCTAACCCCTACATTTTACTGCTGCTTAGCTGGCATGTCAGATGAAAGTACAACCATGCTGGAACAGGAACAGCCTGGTGACCGTAGGACAACAACCGACTCCACCAGCAAGGGAAATGGTAGACGGTGAAAATATTTTCCCGATCCCTTTTTGGGCCTTTCATGCAGACTCTGTCTTACCGTTTTCCCTTTTTGGCCAATCACTGTGATGCCCAGACACTTAATCTCAATAGGTCATTTCAATAACTTCCATGGAGCTACAATTGCACACAGCCATTTCTACCAGCTGAGCATCTGGCTTGCCGTGTGTGTGTGTGTGCCTGCATGCACACGAGTGTATCATTGATGGTTAAACCACAAAAAAAATTGGCAAGCTCAGCCATACACCCAGAAGTCTGGAATTCCAAACTATCCAAATACCTTGGCTCTGTCCGAGGAAAGCAGGAGTGCGGATTTCGAAATAAGCGGCCGTTGTTTCGAAATAACGAGCTTGGTAGTGTGAACACTCTGCTTATAAATTCAACCTAAGAGAGGTTATTTTGAAATAATGCCCTAGTGTAGACCAGGGCTAACAGTCCCTCACCGGATAGTTTGGCCTGTCCAGACCCAATGGGAAGCAGGAAATACAGAGGTGAGAATGAAAAATGATTTAAAGATATTAAAAACAAAATAATTTTCCTGAGAAAGAAAGAAAGAAAGAAAGAAAGAAAGAAAGAAAGAAAGAAAGAAAGAAAGAAAGAAAGAAAGGTTTGAGTTGACTTTATGCATTCACACAGACACACACGCCAAGGCATCTGCAAACTTTCCTTTCCATCTCGACCCTCTTAAAAGTGGACGGAGTGGGCCTCTTGTTAAGGTTAGACAAGCTACATTCTGATACTTGCATTTTAATCCTGGGATTGTACTGGCTTCTCTTTTGTTCTTTGGGCTCTGGTAGAAGAACGGGGAGCCCATTATGCACTTGCATCTAGCAGCTGTGAGTCATTTACCACCAAAGCATGCTGCATCATCAAGGAATGAGAAATAAGATCGTTCTCGAGGGAACGGGCACAGAATGACCCCCGAGTGTTGGATTTTATAACAAAGGGGAAAAACCATAAAACACCAGAGCTATCTGGGCTGTGTTCTTGGACTGTCACATATGGCCCCTGGCACTCAGCTTTGGCCTGAGTGACTGCCGGGTGGCTAGATTTCTGTAAAATGAATGAGAAAACCAAAACCTAACCAAGCCGTGATGGCAATGCCCTGGGGCAGCTTGCACCAGTAGAAGAAAATGGCGGGTCACGTTCCTCACCAGACAGTCTTGCTTCACTGGGTTGAATTCCCCGCATCTTTGTGCTGGGGACATTCTCCGAGAGGTGAAACTACAGATGTGTACATCCCCTTGTAAACTCTGAATATTCCCATTGTTCAACAGGTCACAAGACCCACAGGTCTGCAATAGACTGCCTTCATTAACACCTTGGAGACCAGACCACTGAGTAAATGTGTATGATCAGCATCCGGCCACATCTGTGGTCCGCTTTTCCCATATAAGTTGTTCTCTTGCTCCACAGCACAGAGAAACTATCTGAAAACCCTTGGCATCCAATGTGAGGCCTGGCATTCTTGTGCCCATTTAAATGCTCTATCTGGGAAACATCTTCTTTGTTTACATCACGGTCTCTCTTTCTTCTTCAATAAGTACCGTGGGTCTGTCTCCATCGTAAAGTCCAGAGCCATTTAGGTACTCCTCTTCTTTGTTGTACTGCTCTGGCCCAGAAGAAGGCACAGAATTTTCGGAAATGGAGCCATTTTTGACATAGCCTGGCAAATTTCGGTGTCCATTGAGGGCACCTGGTACAAGTCTCGTATTAAGATGTAGGGCTAGTGCTCCTCTGGTGGTTACATTAGTGATGCTGGTATGCGAAACCATGGGTCCATAACTGTAGGTTGTGCTCCCGCTTCGTGCTTTCCTTTTAAAGTCAAGGGCTAAAGTCCACCTGCTCCATGACTTCTTTATTTCAGCTTGGACCTGAAGATGTGGAGAGAAAAGAGAGGAAGTGAGGAAAGGAGGGAAGCCTGGGGAGAGAGGACATTGTCAGCTGGGTTCAGTCGGAAGGGGTATTTTTTAGAGAGAACTGGCTGGGGGAGTGGTAGGAATACTAGGATGCAAGTGGGGGCAAAGGGTTAGTTAGGCTGGATATCCTGAGGCATGTCTTACTAGGTGAGACTGTGGAACGATCTGCTGAGGGAAATGATAGAAGTCCTGCTGCCTGCACCATTTACCACTCGACTGGGTCAAATGCCAACCTGGGATAGACTAGAAGGCTTGTCAGGTCTTTCCCATCTCTTTGTTGGTATAAATGGGCAACCCCCCCTGACATCAATGGACTTTGGATTGACATGGTTGGACATTGACGTGGATGGACATGGATGGACATGCTCATTTACACCACCTAAAGATTTGGCCCACTATGCGTCTCTAATTGACTGGGGATCTCTCTCCTTCACGTCCTTGCTTGTTGTGGAAGATGCGTGACCTTCGCTTCCTGATTTCCCATCTCGGCTGCCTAGTCAATGTCCTTTCTGTGCTGAAATCAACCACACTGCTGCTAGCCATCTAAAACTCTGAAAGGCTCAGTCCCATAGAAAGACTCCTGGTCTTCTTGCACATTCTTTTCAAAAAGAATAGTAAGTTTCCAGTATAATGGGATCATTCAAACAGTTGGTTCTCCATATGCAAGTCTATCCCCATTGAAAAACACCAACCAACCAACCAACCAATCAACCACACAGCCCATAACTTAGAGCCAGTGTACATAGTATAGTAGCCAGTGATCTCTTCGGTCTTTGGAATCTCCTACTCTTGAGTGACTGATATCATACCACGTGGAAGTTACTATCAGGGCATGATGAATGTTTCTCCCTTGGTCCTTTCTTAATTAGGCCACTTGTTTTGTTCTTTGTCCTTGCTCCCATTATAGCCTTAGCAATTAAATCAAATGCTTGGTCTGAAATAACATGGACATTTAGGGTGGCAGAAAGTCATTATTAGAAAAGAGAAGACCGAGAGGGGACATGATAGCGGTTTTCAAGGACCTAAAAGGATGTTACAAGGAGGAAGGAGAAAAATTATTCTCCTTGGCCTCTGAGGATAGGACAAGAAGCAATGGGCTTAAATTGCAGCAAGGGAGGTTGAGGTTGGACATTAGGAAAAACTTCCTAACTGTCAGGGTGGTGAAACACTGGAATAAATTGCCCAGGGAGGTTGTGGAATCTCCATCACGGGAGATATTTAAGAGCAGATTAGACAGGCACCTGTCAGGGATGGTCTAGATAGTATTGGGTCCTGCCGTGAGGGCAGGGGACTGGACTCGATGACCTCTCAAGGTCCCTTCCAGTCCTAGTGTTCTATGATTCTAAGGGTTCCCACTTCTCTTCTGACTGCTCACCCCAAAGTACCTCCCCCCCCGCACTGTGCTGAAAGAGTGGGGGCATGGCCTCCCTGCCTCCAAGAATCTGCAAGGGGGGAGGAAGCGAGCAGATCTGGCATTCCCCAGAAAGCACAAGGTTACTGCCCTGGGAACCTCCTCCACGTGCACTGCCCTAAAATGACTCAGCCTGAGCCTGATTCTCTGCCATCTTGTCCCCAGTGTTTTCCCCTGTTGTAGAGGGGGAACAAGACATTACGGGATTGGAACTGGCATGTTTTATACCCCGTTTGCACCGATTCTTGTGTGGTAGCATGTTAGATCCACTTTGCACCGGGGGAAACGACGGTGAACGGCACAAAGCAGGGAGACATTTCTACAACAAGGGTCAAATTCTCGGCTTGCCAGGCTCAGTAGAGTTAACTCCAGCGGCCTGTCAATATTTAGACCCCATGTATAATGAAAGGGGACCGTTAAGAACCAAAGACACTCACCTCTCCATTGCAAAAACAGTATATGATGGCCACAAAAAATCCCTGGAAAGAAGATGAAACAACATGTTCACACTTATCCTGCTGCATTGCAACCTCTTGTCCCTGATACGGAGAATAATGGAGCAACACCAGTGTATCCCAGCTGAAAACCAGGCCGGCTGTATAATTTACCACATAGTGCAAACGAGGAAAAGTCCTATTGTCCAGAGCAGGGTTTTTCAAACTTAGGGGATTTGCTAGCTGGCTGCGAGATGCTTTGTTTACCTGAGCATCCGCAGGCATGGCCACTCGCCGCTCCCAGTGGCCGTGGTACACCGTTCCCAGCCAATGGGAGCCATGGGGAGTGGTGTGGGCTGGGTCACCATGTCCTGCAGCTCCCATTGGTCAGGAATGGCGAATCACAGCCAATGGGAGCTATGAGCAGCCATGCCCACGGACACTCAGGTAAACAAAGCGTCTCATCCCTTACAAGCCGCGACCCAAGGTTTGAAGCCTCCTGATCTAGCGGCTCGCAAGAAAGAGGAAATTAATGATTGGCCTCCAGACCTGTAGTTCTCAACCTAAGGGGCCAGGGCTCCATAAGTGGCCACAAGCAAGTTTCAGGGAGTCTGCCAAGCAGGCCTGGCGTTAGACTTGCGGGGGGCCAAGGCAGAGAGAAGTCCCACTGCACGGGGTTGAAGCCCGGAGGCCACAGCCCAGCAACGAGGGCTGAAGCGGGACAACTTAGCTCTGTGTGGCAGGGAGCGCTGGGCAATTGTTCTGCTTGTTACCCTGTAATGCTGGGCCTGCCTTTGATAGGCAGAAAAATCATGTTTGTGGCATGAGAGAGCTGTGGAGGCTTTACTAAGAACATATATAAGAACATAAGAACGGCCGTACTGGGTCAGACCAAAGATCCATCTAGCCCAGTATCCTGTCTGCCGACAGTGGCCAGCACCAGGTGCCCCAGAGAGGGCGGACCGAAGACAATGATCAAGGGATTTGTCTCCTGCCCTCCCTCTCCAGCCTCTGACAAACAGAGGCCAGGGACATCAATTCTATCCCCTGGCTAATAGCCTTTTATAGACCTAACCTCCATGAAATTATCTAGCTTCTCTTTAAACTCTGTTATACACCTAGCCTTCACAGCCTCCTCTGGCAAGGAGTTCCACAGGTTGACTACCCGCTGTGTGAAGAACTTTTTTTTATTAGTTATAAACCTGCTGCCCATTAACTTCATTTGGTGTCCTCTAGTTCTTCTAGAGATACCTTTCTACTAGGATGCCTTTCTAAAGGCTTTGAAAGAGCGGCTGCTCCCCCCAGTCATTTCCCGTTGTGGGAACCTCCCGAAACGTTCAGAAATGTTCCCGTTTGGTATCAGGACTAAATTGAGACCTTTCAGAATTTTTGGCAACCGCCCGCTTCCCCCTCCCCCAGCGCTCTCCGGAGATCCCACAGCCCACCCGATGGGGCATTCCACGGGGGAAGTGGCAGGCGTCAGATCGAATCTGGAGCTGGGCAGAGCCGGGCTTGGCACCTCCCTCTGCGACAGCCCAGGTGAATACCCTCATCGGTATCACTCTGTCGAGGGCAGCTTTCTTACACCCTCTTGTTGTGTACTTCCACTTTGCACCAATACATACGCAGAGGTGCAGGAAGAGGCTGACTGTATACACCAGCGTTAGGGCAATGGTTTGGGAGGGGGCAATCCAGGATCAGATGAGACGAGATGCCAGCTTTCGGATCCGGTCATGCCCTCCCTTTGCCCCCACATGGGAAGTCCAGGGGTGCAAAGAATGCAGAATCTGCCCCCGCCCCTGCACACTTTGGACCCAGGGTGTGCAAAGGGCATGCACTGGTCATCAGACGGCTGCCCTCATTTCGGCTACAAGATCCCGATCCTGCACTCAGACCCCTGTGCTTCTCGTAGACTTGAGCAGTGCATGTTAGCAGAGCCGTTTGCAGCTCCCGGCTGTTTATGCTCCCTCCCTCTCCCCCTCCCAGTCCCGTGGTGGGCCTGATCCTTCCTTTCCTTTTCTTTTTTTTCTCCCCCAGGGCTCTGTGCCCAGCCAAAGGCGGAGTGCCGGGGCAGGAGCTGCCTTCAGCTACAAGAGCCCCCTCGCCGTATCCTCCGTGGATGGGCAGGGGACGGAGAGGGCGGGATCTGAGGAAGCAACATGGGCCAAGGGACGTGCTGGCTACCACTTCCCGCTGCTCCCCTGCGGGGGTCGGTAACATTTTAACAGACTGAAAAGGGGTCCACAGGCTTGAAACGGTTTGGAACCGCTGGCTTAAAACACTAAACTGTTTTGCCCAACACACTGCCCCAAAGTACCCCCCAAATGCTTTGCAAATACACCCCGCACCCAAGGACAGGTGTTATGTCTTGGGAGTATAACTTCAGACTTAGAATCATAGAGCTGAAAGAGACCTCGGGAGTCAAGTCCAGCCCCCTGCCCAAGGCAGGACCAATCCCAACTCAATCATCCCAGCCAGGGCTTTGTCAAACGGAGACTCAAAAACCTCTGGGGATGGAGATTCCACCCCCTCCCTAGGGAACCCTTCCCAGTGCTTCCCCACGTTCCTAGGGAAATAGCTTTTCCTAATATCCAACCTAGACCTCCCCCACTGCAACTTGAGCCCATTGCTCCTTGTTCTGCCATCTGCCCCCACTGAGAACAGCCTGTCCCCATCCTCTTTGGAACCCCCTTTCAGTCAGTTGAAGGCTGCTATTCAAGCTACCCAAACACATCTGGTGACCACCCATGGCCCCACCGAACACCCCTAAAAATGCCCAGAAGATGCCCAGAACGTTTAACAAGGTACTGTACCTGGAAAGAGTTGAATAGCATTTCATAGTGCATTTGAACTTGCCAAAGAATCCCTGACACATCTGTATATGGCATCGCCATGAAGACTATATAGTGAACTCCAAACAGAGGCATGAGGACAAGGGTCGATTTCAGCAGCTTCCTGCAGGAACAGGAGAAGGAGAGAAAGACAGGGAGAAAGTCACAAGTCTGAATTAGCCTACAGCTGCCTCCTTAGGGAGGCTCAGGGTGGAATGGCGCAGGGGTGGGATGAGCTTGCATTACTGCTGCCCAGGATGTGCTGGATTGGGATTATCCACTTTCTAGGCCCGTCTAAGCCAGTATATTCCACCAGCCGTGAAAAATTCTGAAAATGAAGGCTGGGCTGCTTATGCCCAGATGGGATGAGGAGGGGGAACATAAGAATGGCCAGACTGGATCACATCAAAGGTCCATTTAGCCCAGTGTCCTGTCTTCTGACAGTGGCCAATGCCAGGTGCCCCAGAGGGAGTGAGCAGAACAGAGAATCATCAAGAGATTCCTCTCCTGTCATCCATTTCCAGCCTCAGACAAACAGAGGCTGGGGACAGCATCCCTACCCATCCTGGCTAATAGCCATTGATGGACCTAACTTCCGTGAATTTATCTAATTCTTTTATGAACCCTGTTAAAGTCCTGGTCTTCACAACTTCTTCTGGCAAGGAGTTCCACAGGTTGTCTGTGTGCGCTGTGAAGAAAAACTTCCTTTTGTTTGTTTTAAACTTGCTACCTATTCATTTCATTGGGTGACCCCTAGTTCTTGCGTTATGGGAACAAGTCAATAACTTTTCCTTATTCGCTTTCTCCACTCCAGCCATGATTTTATAGACCTCTGTCATATCCCCCCTCAGTCTCCTCTTTTCTAAGCTGAAAAGTCCCAGTCTTTTTAATCTCTCTGCATATGGCAACCATTCCAAACCCCTCATCCTTTCCTCTCTGCATATGGCAACCATTCCAAACCTCTCATCCTTTCTGTTGCCCTTTTCCCATGCCCAGAGATCTTTTCTGAGATGAGGCGAGCACTTCTGTACGCAGTACTCAAGATGCGGGCGCACCATGGATTTATACAGTGTTTCAAGCTGTGCTGTACTTGTAGCCTCTGGGGGCACTGGCATTAGTGGGGCACAACATGGAGGAAGTCAGTGAAGAGGGTAGGCAGCAGAGCGATTTGTGGGCCCGGGAGAGAACACAACCCCATCCTATGGAAAGGGGCCTGTGATCAGCTCGTGATCAGCTCGTGTTTCCCTGGAGCGTAACATGCTTGGGGTTCTGAAAAGTGAAAGTAAGGGTTCTGCGAGGAGCTGGCACTCCCCCTCCCCCTCTTAAAGAGATAGCCTTTATTTTTTGCGGCAGGACTTTTTTTTTTTCTTTCTTCTTTTTGCTCAATGAAACACAACGGGGGCCTTTTTATTTTTTAGGCAACCCTAGGGGTTCCATGGCCCAAATAAAATTGGGAAACACTGTCCTAGACAGAAGCACAACAGCACCTCTACAGGACCACGCGCCTTCGCGACAGCTCCAGGCCTACGGTTTGGCTGGGTTTCTCCTTTGGATCTCTAAGGGAGCAGACGCTGACTGGAAATGATGCTGATCGAGGAATAGACACTCCTGCCAGTGAGGACAGTGCTCGCCAAAGAGAAGCAGCGAGCGAGGGGGCAGTGCCGCCAGGAGGCCTGGCGCTTTCGCCGTCCAACGCCTGACAATTAAAAAACAACAACAGCTGAGGCCTGTCCAAACCACAATTAATGGCAAGCCTCCCTGAGCGAGAAATAAACAAACAGATAAGTCCCGGGTGTGACATGGCAGCCAAATAAGCGTGGCGTTTTTAAGCCAAATTCCAGACCCGCTTCCAATAGAATCCTTGAGCCATGCGATTGGAGGGGACCTCGAGAGGTCATCTCCAACCTCCTGCCCTCACGGCAGGACCAAGTGTTATCTTTCCTCCGGATACTCTTCTGGGACCAAGCCAGTAGAGGCGACCTCGGAATCCCACTTCCCAGTGATTTCACCCTGAATTATTTTGCTTTCTCTCCTCAGGATGTTGTGTGCTGCATCATTTGAACCAGAGCCTACAAACACTCTGGGAGTTCTCTAGCTGTGGAGGTCTCTGGGTTATTTACTTTCCCAGTCAAACTTTGACTACGTTGCAAATATGTTTCAAGGGGGGGAAGGAATGAAGAAAACCCCAAACAAGCAACAAAGCCCAGGGTGAAACTCCAAACTTCCCATGAATCGTGAGCTTTGCTTGAGCAATCGCATTTTTACTTCAGAAATGTTTCCAGGAGGGTGTAAAGAGCAAGCCAAGGTTTTGAACGTGAAGGAAAAAGTATAAAAAGGAAGGGTGGCCTTTTACAGTACAGCCAAGGCTTTTTGCTTTATGTTCTTGGTTCAAAGTCAACCCAGGGCAAAAGGGATTGGAAAATCATTATTCATTTTTTGGGTTATGGTATTGGGACCCTATTCTGCTCGGCTTTGTACAAACATAAAGGAGAGACAATTTAGGGACTCTAAACAGATGTGGCAGTAGGGTTGGCAGTTGTCCGATATTGAACCGGACAGCCTGGTATTTGGGCCTTCCGTCTGGTTCAGACAATACCAGACATGTGAAATGTCCGGTATTTTCTGTTTTTTCCTGGCTCGGGTGTCCACCGGGCGGGGGGAGGATGGAGTGGCCCGGGCAGATTTCAAAATGACCGCGTTAAAAGGGCAATACCTGCTCTGATCTTAAAAAAGGGCAAACTGGGAGGTAGGGAAGGGTTTCAACCCCGGTAAGTTCTTTTTTTCCCTCAAGTTTTGCTGCTGTGTTTTTTGTTTTGTGTGCCATTTATTTTTTTTTTTGCTCAACAAAATCTTTTCCCGAGGTGTTTTTTTGAGGGTGGGGTGGTGTTCGGTATTTTTTGTTGAACCATCTGTCAACTCTACGCGGCAGATAAAGAATGGAACGTGCCCAATGTCACAAGGTAGAGTCAGGACTAAAATGGAGGTTTCCTGGGTGGTGGCCCAGGGCCTAGTGACTGGATGAGACACTCTTCCTACCCAAAGGCTGTTGGTGGCCTCCTCAATAGATGGTGGAGGTGCCCACAACACAAAGACCGCTGTCGTTGCTAGCCCTTGATGGCCATGAGCTAAACTGACCTTGGAGACTAGACTCATTTCTCAGCCTTTCACCTGGTCCTTCCAGGCGTGGGTGAGGGCTCCTGAGGGGAACCGTGAGGGAAAGTCTGCAATGCCCCTTGTTCAGCCTTCCCTGCTCCCCCAGAACTCCCCCCAGACGGCCCGGTGGAAAGCAGAAAGAGCCCGACAGCGATTCAGGCTGCATGGACACCGGCCCTGCTCTGGAGGTGGCTGGGGGACTTGGATCTCCCAGGTTGTCAGGCCCGTTCCAGGCTCCTTGCTGTCTCGGGACGGAGGGAAAGGGGACTCACCTGTACTGTTGTCTCGTATCGCACCTCCCTGCGTTGGTCTCCCGTAGCTTGGTTGCGAGGACTCGGATAATCTTGATAAAGAGAATAAAATTTACCTGAAAAAGAGGAAAGATTTTTGTTTTTTTTTTGAAATTACACAACCAAAACCTGTGGTGCTACCGCGAGCAAGATGGCGCCTTTTCCCAGGGCCCTGGCCTCACAGATGTTTCCAGAGAGACCCCCCACCTGCCGGGGGAGGTAAAGGTACCAAGCTCCTTCAGGAGGAGCTCTGCTATCAGCCAGGGAGCTAAAGAAGGTCTCCTTGCTTATTCCCTATCATGTCCAGCCTTGTTACGGACTCATGGCGAGAACAGGCTCATGTGACCCGATCCATCTAGGCACTGGCAGCAAACTTCACAATTCCTGGTCTGTCGTGTTTATTTAGAGTGCACGTTCTTCCAAGCACAGACTGCCTCTTATTCTGAGTTTGTACAGCCCCTAGCACAATGGGGTCTTGACACAGGACTGGCCTTACCATGAGGGGAACTGAGGCGGCTGCCTCAGGTGCCAGGCTGTACGGCGGGCACCACTAGGACCCAGAGTGTAGAAAACTGTCTGCTGGTGGTGCCTATGTAGTCTCTCTGCTCTGAAAGTTAAGTGTTACTTAAACTTTTTGAACAAGGCATTTTAAGTTGTTAGTTCTCCTTTATCGGGGTAGGTAGTAGAGCAGTCCCATGGGAGGAGCAGAACAGGAAGAAGGCAGAACTGAGACCTTTCAACGTTTTGGCCCAAGTGAGGGGGTATTTTGAGCTTCCTACCTCAGGTGCCAAAATGTTGTGGGCCGGCCCTGCTTTGACAGATGACAGAACGAGGAGCCATGGTCTCAAGTTGCAATGGGGGAGGTCTAGGTTGGCTATTAGGATAAACTATTTCCCTAGGAGGGTGGGGAAGCCCTGGGCTGGGTTCCCTAGGGAGGGGGTGGAATCTCCATCCCTAGAGGTATTTAAATCTCGGCTTGACCAAGCCCTGGCTGGGTTGATTTAGTTGGGATTGGTCCTGCTTTGGGTAGGAGGCTGGACTCGATGACTCCAGAGGGCTCTTCCTGCTCTCTGAGAGCCCAAAGGCCACACAGAAAGCCTGAAGCAGAGGCAGGAATTTCACTGAGAAATCTTGGCTGCTAACCCAGCAGCTTGGCCATGAGGTCATCTTCTCTCTCCTGCTACCCATGGCCAAGCCATTGGGCCACCTATGGCTTGTGCTTGTTTCTTTGCTGTCCTTCCCCAGAGCTTCTACTTCCTAATTGCTACTGTAGCACCACAGAACTCGTGATCCAAATCTCAAGGAAACCAGAAAGGAAATGCCTCTTGCTTTTCCTGAAGCACCAACAAAGCTTGGAAGGAAACGCAAACAACAGAAAGACTTCTAAGTGACCAATGCAGGGGACTTCAAGCCACTTATGCCCAGAACTGAGTGAGAGCTCATCCAGAAAATGCAAGACTTTGGTCCAGAAACAGATAACACACCAGGGCAGGAATTGAAACAGCATCCAGCCAAGTGTGCAGTTAGAACCCACTAAGACTAAACAGAAACAATCCACGAAATCTGTTTGCATGATAAATAGCCTTGTTGAACCTTGCGCAGAAGCATTCTCTGTACAAGGACAAACATCCAGTCGGCTTGTTGTCATCTCTTAAGTGGGCTTTAAACGAAAGGCAGCAGGCCTGCTGACAATCAACCGCTTGCACTATCTGGACTGTGTCTTCCACCCTACTGTGTTATTTCTAGTGATCCTTGGGTGGGCTTGGCTCCTTCCAACGCACAGAAGGAATCCGCAGAGCCAGGTGGAGAACTTCCGTCAAAACAAAATTGGAACGAGGGAAGAAAATAAAAAATAATGCCCCCAGGCCGGCTCTGCTAATTACACATATTCACTTCTGAAGGTTCCATATACAGAGAGCCAATGTTACCTCCATCTCTTTGTTTTCAACTGTGTGCAGAATAAATTTTGTTCTGTGCACTGAGGCATGTGCAGATGTGCACCACCAGTAGAAATATGTGCTGCCAGCTGCAGGCACTCTGCTAATCAGCAGAGCGGCATTGGAATCTCTTCTGGGTGGCTGCCCTATAGCTCAGCTCAGAAGAAACGCTATAGAAGGCCTGAGTTCTTCTTACCCATGCTGCTTTATTGCATGAGTCGTAGGAAGAATCCTAAAATCCCAGGGCTGGGAGAGACCTCAGGAATCATTGAGTCCAGACCCCTGCCCAAAGCAGAGCCAATCCCGACTAAATCAACCCAGCCAGGGCTTGGTCAAGCCGAGAAATAAAAACCAGAACTGGTCTGGCCTCCGCAGAGCCATATAAAGGAGAATAATCACTTCTCTAGATCTGCTGGCAATGCTCCTCCTAATGCTAGTTTTTCCTAACATCCAACCTAGACCTCCCCCACGGCAACTTGAGACCATTGCTCCTCGTTCTGCCATCTGTCACTACTGAGAACAGCCTCTCTCCATCCTCTTTGGAACCTCCCTTCAGGGAGTTGAAGGCTGCTCTCAAATTCCCCCTCACTCTTCTCTTCTGCAAACTCAGATTCCTCAGTCTCTCCTCACAGATCATGTGCTCCAGCCCCCTAATCATTTTGGTTGCCCTCCGCTGGACCCTCTCCAATGCGTCCACATCCTTTTCATAGTGGGGGCCCAGAACTGGTCTGGCCTCCCCAGAGCCAAATAAAGGGGAATAATCACTTCTTTAGATCTGCTGGCAATGCTCCTCCTAATGCACCCTAATAGGCCATTAGCCCTCATGGCAACAAGGGCCCCCTGTTGACTCCTATCCAGCTTCTCATCCACTGTAACCCCCAGGTCCTTTTCTGCCAAACTGAATCCCAGAATCATAGAATACTAGGACTGGAAGGGACCTTGAGAGGTCATCGAGTCCAGTCCCCTGCCCTCATGGCAGGACCAAATACTGTCTAGACCATCCCTGATAGACCTTTATCTAACCTACTCTTAAATATCTCCAGTAATGGAGATTCCACAACCTCCCTGGGTAATTTATTCCAGTGTTTAACTACCCTGACAATTAGGAACTCTGTTGACTCATACCCAGCTTCTCATCCACTGTACCCCCCAGGTCTTTTTCTGCAGAACTACTACTTAGCTGGTTGGTCCCCAGCCTGTAACAAAGCTTGGGATTCTTCCGTCCCAAGTGCAGGACACTTGTCCTTGTTGAACCTCAACAGATTTCTTTTGGCCTATTCCTAGAATCAAGTCCATTTTGGCCTGATCCAGAATCCGCTAAAGTCAGCAGAAAGACAATTTGCCCAGACTATTGTATGGAAGCATAGAGGAGAACTAAAACATGCAGGTAGAGAAAGCCTCTCTTTTGCTCATCTGTCAGGGTATGTCTATGAGCCACCGTTTTTAAATCCCCCTTAGTTCGAACGAACTGCCCGCGGCTACACGCAGCAGTTTAAAGTTAATCCGAACTAAGTCCTTAGTTCGGATTAACTGTTACTCCTCGTGGAATGAGGTGTAACAGTTAATCCAAACTAAGGATTTAGTTCGGATTAACTTTAACCTGCCGCATGTAGCTGTGGGCAGTTCGTTCGAACTAAGGGGGATTTAAAAACGGTGGCTGGACAGGAACATGCAAATAAAGCCCGGGATATTTAAATCCCGGGCTTCCTTTGCAACTCTGGTTGCCTGATTTGCCTACCAAGCTCGAATTAATGAACTAGTGTAGACATACTCTCAGAAAGCAGGGGGAAGGGGGGATATAGAGGAAAGAGAAGGGATAATTTATGCAAATTCAAACATAACTCACCACAATAGATGCCAGGATAGGCACCTGAACAATCCATTTCAAATTGCCGGCACTCAAGTCCCAGCACCTAGGAAGAGATTGGCAGAACATCAGTAAACGCTTACCTGGCCTGGCAAACAGTCTTGCTTTCCTATTTGCCAGCCAGTGCCTAAGGCATCTACAGAACCATCCCCAACTCATCCCGAGCCGTCCCTTCCCCACCCCATCTGGGCGTCAAAACAGGCCTCCTTTTAGCCTTACCATCAGCTTTAAAATATTAGCCCCGGATCCTCAAAGATACTTACGTACTTAAGAGGCATTGAAATTAGAGAAAGCTGCGCATTACGAGTAGATCCTCTCTAGTCTGGCACTCTCTGGTCCAGCAACCTCCGTGGTCCGGCATAATTAGTTAACCAGATGTCCACTTAGCATGGGTGTGGCCAAATTACCCACAGTCCCATAAAGTTTGTTTATAGCCCTCAGTCCTGCCTTCTGTGCTGTGATTTAGCTCTATTTTACTCTTAAATGTTGTCTAACAGCCCAGAGAACAGCAATAAAGTTTGTTTATAGCCCTCAGTCCTGCCTTCTGTGCTGTGATTTACCCTTAAATGTCGTCTAACAGCCCAGAGAACAGCGGAAGTGTTGGTAATGCTGGTAGACAATATTGAACGCCCATGGTCTGGCAAATTCTCTGATTCGGCACCAGTCAGGTCCCGAGGGTGCCGGACTACAGAGGTTCAACCTGTACTCTCGGCAGATTTCAGGAACTTGCTCCTTTTGCATTGCGAAGGCTTGCCTCTAATCCTCTTTTAATTGGATTTCTATGCCCCAGTCCATAATGGCTGGGTTCAGCGATCCCCGGGATATGTTTCCTTAGGCAGAAGTTGCACCGATCCGTCTAAAGATGGGATTTTAAACCAACACAAAGCCCTGAGGGGGGATCACATGTAAACTGGTTCAGACTGGACCCACCCACTCGGCTTGCACTTGCAAATTTACCACCATTCATTACACAGGCTTAAACTGAAGTGTCCACACAGGGCTTTAACTCGATTGGCTTTAAAGCTTTGCGTGGAGATGAGGCCCAAGCGAATGCTGCAGTGCTAGAAGCTGCTGCCCGGGGGAATGAAGCTGAACCTTTAGAACAGATACGTAGGTGTTCAAGAGGCATTGAAATCAGTAGAAATTGAGCATTACAAGTAGAACCTCTCTAGCCCGGCACTTTCTGGTCTGTCAACATATGTCGTGCGGCACGATTTTAGTTAGGATAAGGGACCCACCGGAGATAGGGCAGTGGGTTGGATTCTGCCATGGCTTAGGGGGTAGGGCATTTGCCTGAGAACTGCAGGGTGCTGGGTTCAAGTCCCCCTCCCTCCACCTGCCATCACTGAGACCAGGTGTCCACTTAGCATATGCCCCACAGTTCTCCTCTGCCAACCCTATCCAGCAGGAGGTTCATTCTTTTAGCCCAGTGGTCCCCAACCATTTGAGGTTGCCGGGCGCCAGGGGGCATGGCTGTTCGCCTGCTGGACACCAGGAGGTGGGGACACTTGCGTGCCCGGGGGCGCCCCCCCACAGCTGCATGCACGGGGGCAGAGCCCCCCCCATAGCCACACACC